GTCACTTATAAACCCTCTAAGGGTTATGATTTTCAGCCATCCCTTTTATAAGAGAGAAAACCATAAATTATCCTCCTCATTCTCTCTCCTCTTTATCCTCCAACTTGCTAGGGTTTGGGTGTGAGCCATTATAGGCACGGGACTTCTGGTTCTTCCTTTTTGAAGACCGTGAAGGAAGGATTAGTAGTTTATTTGCAATAATGAGCTATGGTAGGTATTTTCTAACAACCCTTTAGCAATGTACTTCTAGGGTTCTTGATATTCAATAGGTGTTTGTAAATCATAGTGAGAACATAGATCCTTAATGTGCATGTTAACTTAGGGTTTATGTTTTTCCGCCAAAAAATAGTTTTTTGTAACGTATAAAACTCATCGGTGGTATCGGATCCATTGTTCTCATTGATCTTGCACAAAGTTGAATAAATCAAAATTAGGGTTTATAGAAACTAAACCCTAATAAGATATTTTTGAAAATCTCATAGGGTTCTTGAAACTTTAGCCTCCACTCTATATTTTTTTGAAATCTACAAGGGTTTTAGAAACCCTAGCCCCTTTGCCTACTTTTTGAAATTTAAGGATCCCTCCTTATTTCCTTATTTGTTATTTTAAAAGCCTTAAAATTTGAATAATTAAAGCCTAGTAAACCCTAGCTTTTTTCGAAAATTATAAGTCTTAGGATAAGGATTAAATTGAATTATTTTGTTAACTGTTTAATTGTAAATAATTATTTGATTCATATGGATTTAATATAATTAATTAATTGTTTAATTAAAAGATAAAGATTAAATCAAAATGATTTTATTTTTAAATTAAATTAATTTTATATTAATTTCTAAAATTTAAACTTAAAGCTAGTATTTTAAAAAAAGTTTTAAAATACACCTTATACTATATATAATTAAAATATTAATATAATATATGGATAAGACAAGCCAGTCAAATCGCTAGTACGCCTCATTCACCAAACCATGCTATAAATATGGTACACGGAAGTGGCTTATAAAATAGTCGTTGAATGGGTGTCCACTCTCACCCACCGCACTCCTGTGTGGTGGAGGGTCGTTAGCCGAATGAATTTGATAAGACATAAGTATCATTAGACATTAATAAGTATAATGATATGAAGTAAGTAAATTATTTAATAAAATCTCACTCTTAGTTACTTTAGGAAAATGTGAAAAGTATGTTAATCCATAAAATTGCACATTATCCTTTATATCAAGTCCATGTATGATAACCAAGTTTGGAATTTGGTTGATCAAGAACCTAGTCGAAAGACAGTTGGTTGCAAATGACTCTTTAAGAAGAAGACCGACATGGATGAAAATGTACACATCTTCAAGGCTCGATTGGTTGCAAAGGGTTTTACTCAAACCCTAGGGTTTGACTATGACGAGACATTCTCACCAATAGCCAAGATAAAGTCTATCAGGATAATGCTTGTCATAGCTGCTTTTCATGATTATAAAATATGGCAAATAGATGTCAAAACCACTTTCCTTAATGGGAAGTTGGTTGAAGATGTTTACACTAGTCATCTGGAAGGTTTTGTAGCTGTAAAGTATCCTAATAGAGTGTGTAAAGTTGACAAATCCATTTATGGATTGAAACAAACATTTCATAGCTTGAATCTTTGCTTCCATGAGAAGTCAACGAATTTGGTTTCTCTAGGAGGGAAGATGAGTCATGTGTGTATGTCAAAGCTAGTGGGAGTATAGTAACCTTTCTAGTGTTATATGTTGATGACATACTCTTTATACGAAAATGACATTCCAACCTTGCAAGAAGTTAAGGCTTGGCTTGGAAAGTGTTTTGCTATGAAGGATCTAGGAGAGGCAACCTATATTATTGGGATAAGAATTTTAAGGGATAGAGAGAGAAAAGACTAATTGGTCTTAGTCAAAGTATATACTTGGATAAGGTACTAAAACATTTTAGTATGGAGAATTCCAAGAAAGGAGAGCTACTTGTTCAAAGTAATGCCAATTTGAGTAAGACTCAATGTCCTAGTACAGATGAGTCGAGTCCCATATGCTTCAACTGTAGGATTGATTATGTACACTATGACATGTACTCGTACTGATGTATCTTTTTCTTTGAGCATGGTTATTTGCTTTCAAGGAAATCCTAGCAGAGCTCACTGGACAACGGTAAAGAACATTCTCAAGTATCCACAAAGGACAAAGGATCTTATTCTAGTACTTGGTGGCAGTGATACATTGAGAGTGACTGGGTATAGGTAGCAAATTACATATTGATGTTAACTTTCTTGTAAGTTTAAAATAGATATACTTTTATAAGTTTTAAAATATCAAAAAAAATTTCAAACCAGGTACCCGATATTGGAAATGTTATCCACCGATTTTGGTTTCGGTTCAAACATTTTAAGAACCGCCAATTCTAGTTCTAGATAATTAAGGCAACTACCCGCCTACGTTCATCCTAGGGGGAAGCCTCTACCATTAAGTAGAATCACAAACCGACAAACCTAATGGGTAGTGAAATAAATCATTATTAGACGTACTAAAGAACGGACCTCCACAAATCATCATGTCCTCAATCAACCCTAATAATTCTTTATCAAAGAACAAGGTCACCTCCTCTATCTGAACAAGTTGGCACGTCTTCGGACCGAATAATAGTATGACAATGTCCTTGCAAGATTGAAGCAAAATAAGCTCACTTTGGAGGCAAATTAGTCATTTCAATTTTGATATGGACCATCCATGAAACAAATAAATTTTCCTAGGGACCAAAACTAACAAAAAAAAAAAAAAAGCTTATTTTACACTATTACTGCAAATTAAAACTTGTTTGGATTGAATCTCAAACCATACGACTAATTAGACTAAAAAGAAAAGTTTATTTTATACTTTATAGCACAACTCGTTCTAAATGTATAAAAACTAAAATTTAATTAAGAAAAACAAGGATCAGCTTCATCACCATCATTCCCTCTATTTCAACCAGAGACCTACTCCAACCCTAGACAGCATTCAACTATGGCGGCCGTCGCTTCACCAAACCCTCCCGTCTCCGCCAAGCCTCCTTCTATCACCCACCCATTTCAGCCTCGCACCACCCTCCTCCCTCGATTTGCCCTTCCCATTGCTTCCAATCCTAAAAAACGCCACCGTCTCCACATCTCCAATGTCCTCTCCGATTCAAAACCGACAACCGCCGCCTCCACCACTACCCGTCCTCCGCTGCCTGCGGAGCCTTTCGTCTCCCGCTACGCCCCTGACCAACCCAGAAAAGGCTCCGATGTCCTCGTGGAAGCTCTCGAGCGCGAAGGTGTCACCGACGTCTTCGCCTACCCTGGCGGCGCATCCATGGAGATCCATCAAGCTCTAACCCGGTCTCAAATCATCCGAAATGTCCTCCCTCGCCACGAACAGGGCGGTGTGTTCGCCGCCGAAGGTTACGCTCGCGCCTCCGGTCTTCCCGGCGTATGCATCGCTACCTCCGGTCCCGGAGCTACCAATCTGGTAAGTGGCCTTGCTGACGCCCTGCTCGACAGTATCCCCATTGTTGCCATCACCGGTCAAGTCCCCCGGAGAATGATCGGAACCGACGCGTTTCAAGAAACCCCGATTGTGGAGGTAACACGTTCCATTACTAAACACAATTACCTTGTTTTGGATGTCGAAGACATCCCCCGTGTTGTCCGTGAAGCTTTCTATCTCGCATCTTCCGGTCGACCTGGTCCTGTTCTAATCGATGTCCCGAAAGATATTCAGCAGCAATTAGTCGTACCCAAATGGGATGAACCCATGAGATTATCCGGTTACTTATCTCGATTGCCAAAACCACCAAACGAAGAACATTTAGAACAGATTATTCGTTTAATAGCAGAGTCAAAAAGGCCAGTTTTGTACACCGGCGGTGGCTGTTTGGATTCCAGCGTTGAATTGCGCCGATTTGTTGAACTCACCGGAATCCCAGTCGCCAGTACTTTAATGGGTCTCGGAGCTTTCCCAGCTTCCGATGATTTATCCCTTCAAATGCTCGGAATGCATGGAACTGTTTATGCGAATTATGCAGTAGATAAAAGCGATTTGTTGCTAGCGTTTGGGGTTAGATTTGACGATCGTGTAACAGGAAAGCTTGAAGCGTTTGCAAGCAGAGCCAAAATCGTTCACATTGACATCGATTCTGCAGAAATTGGTAAGAACAAAATACCCCATGTTTCCGTTTGTGGTGATATCAAGATCGCATTACAGGGTCTCAACAAGATTCTCGAAGAAAAAGGTGAGATGAAAAATCTTGATTTCTCATCATGGAAGAAGGAATTAGATGAACAAAAATCAACCCACCCTTTGAGTTTCAAAACTTTCGGAGATGCCATTCCTCCTCAATACGCAATCCAAGTGCTCGATGAATTGACTGGTGGAAACGCAATAATCAGCACCGGAGTTGGTCAACATCAGATGTGGGCTGCTCAATTTTACAAATACAACCGCCCTAGACAGTGGTTAACCTCCGGTGGACTAGGAGCCATGGGGTTTGGCCTCCCTGCTGCCATTGGAGCCGCCGTTGCAAGACCTGACTCCATAGTCGTTGACATCGACGGTGATGGAAGCTTCATGATGAACGTTCAAGAACTCGCCACCATTAGAGTGGAGAATCTTCCGGTGAAGATTCTGTTACTGAACAATCAACATCTGGGTATGGTCGTTCAATGGGAAGATCGGTTTTATAAAGCGAATCGAGCTCACACGTATCTTGGAAACCCATCAAAAGAAACAGAAATATTCCCGAATATGTTGAAATTTGCAGAAGCTTGTGATATTCCCTCCGCTAGAGTGACGAAAATCGGCGATCTTAGGGCGGCGATTCAGAAAATGTTGGACACACCTGGGCCGTATTTGTTAGACGTTATTGTCCCACATCAAGAACACGTGTTACCCATGATCCCCGCCGGCGGTGGTTTCATGGATGTCATCACCGACGGCGATGGCAGAATTAAATATTAAGCTTTTTCAGTTTCATTTCTTGTTGTGTAATGTATGCAAAATACTCTTATTATTTCCTTTTGATGTTTGTTATTTAGTAGTTTATCGACTTTTTTGATAATAAACTTTTATTTTACAATAAACTTGATCATATTATCATAATTCATAAACTTATTGTACTACAGATGATGATTCGAATGATTTCCTCCTAACGAGTAAACATGTAATTTTCGAAGGATGTGTGGTTGTGTTTGTATTTGTATTATGAGGACTACAAAGCACAAAATCGGGCCTATGGAGTGCTAAATTCAACCGATCTTCACCCATAACCATTGACGTGGCATCAAGGAGAACATGCCACGTGTTTCTATGTGCTTCAGAAACCCAATGCATCGAGTAAGGTGTCCCATTTACATTCGCAGGATACGAGAATAACCCTTTTGGACTCTGTTTACTTTTTCTTCTGAAATATTGGCTGAGTTGTGAACCTTTGATTCTCAAATCCAACCATGTCTCCGGCGCCGATATCACTTTCGATTCTTTATATCCCGCAAACGCTTTTATGTAATCATGTTCTTCGTCTATAATCGTCATGTAGAAATTCCCTCTGAAAAAAGGGTAACTTTCTCCGACTAACATCATCGCGTCTCTGTAACTTGAAGTGAAAAGAACAAGGTACTCATTTTCCGGCAACCCACAGTGGTTTAAAACTTTATTCCGGGCTTGGATTTCCGGTATCGAAATGAAGCTTCCGAGATACGACGACTTTTTCGTCAGTATATCGAGTAATCTTGATGGTTCGAGTTGGATTCTTTCAAGATCGTGAAAGTTAGACCCAAATGTTTCCCGAAATACCCCTCGTGGAGATTTCCGTTTTTCGTCCGGCGAAGTCTCCGGTGGGGTTGGGGGTTCTTCTTTCACGCAAAGCTCGTAAAGGTCAGTTTTGTCTTTTCCTTCAACTAATGCGTTTGAATATTCGGGGTATTTCGCGACGACGTATTGTTCGACGTATTGCATTTCTGCGGGGGTGATCGGACCGGACCACCGGAGGTCAACGCCGTGCAAGGTTGATATGGCTTCTGCTATGATATGCGGTGGTATTACTCTGTTTGCTCTCTGTTAATCGAGAAAACATTATTAGATCTTCCTTAATATCATCGAGAATCATGACTCTAAACCTTAAAGTTTACAAACGTACCTTAATGATCATACTGTTTGGTCTCCCGGCTTCTGTTTTCTTGAAAAGCGACTTCACCATATCCTCCTGATTCATGTCAAATTATCCGGTGAGTTTTCCGGTGGGTTTCATCGGAGAATAAAAAAGATTAATGAAGTTCGTACCTTTGGTCGAGTTTGGACGATTCTAGATTCTTCATTGTTTCTTCCCATTCTAAAGATCTTTTTGAACAAATTGTTACAAAATTGATATATATTATAGACGAGTTGGGTGATATTTACAATGCAATTTGTTACTTCTTATACTCTTATTATTGCAACAGTGGAAGTTTCCAAGAAACAGGGTTTTGACATAGTCAAGATTAGAGTTAAAATCCTATTCATTTCTTGTTTCTGAAAGCGAAATTAAGGATAAATAATCTTTATGACTTTGGGTTAGTTGATAGTTTATAGTTTATATAGTTTCTACATTGTACTATTTTACTGATTCTGGTTTGACTCGGTGAGTTGTTGTTGAGTCACTGTCGACCAACTGGTTGGTGACACGTGTTGGGCGATTAAATCAGAACTGAGTTGGAACTTCGGTTGTGGATCCGAGTTGGGGTTATGTTCACACTCCGTCTGTCCAATTTGAGGGTTTAATCTAGTTTATGAATCCCACTAATCATAATTAATTAAGAAATGTCACGATTTTAGTTTATAAAATGATAAGAGAAAACGACCCTTTTGCCACTGAGGAACAACTGGAATTGTGATCGTAATTACTTGGAAAATAAGCAAATTGTAGTGTAAATACAGTTGTGATTATCGACTTATCGGCTGTTCAAACAAAACGTATCAATGTGAAAAATAATTAATTTAAAGTCGACTAAGTATAACATTTTGAAAAGGGATTCTTTATTTGTTATATCGGAATACTTTATGTATACTTTTTTTTTTATTATGTTAGACCAAAAAGTTATGATGTCATGATATAACAATGGACTATTTCAAAGATAAATTAGTGACACAATGCTTTGTTAGTACTGACGGTTAAGCGAAAATGATGTTGAAAGAGCTATAAAAAAGCGACCTGCCCAAAATTATTAAATTAATAGGTCATTTACAAAAACCGACTAGAGTTAGGATAGAAAGTTTTAATATATATATATATATATATATATATATATATATATATATATATATATATATATATATATATATATACTAGGTGTGAGACCCATGTATTACATGGGTTTATTTAAAAAAAATTAAATATGAAATTTTAACAATTTAAAAGGTTTGAATTTATAAGAAAAATGAGAAAAATTTTAAATTATTAAAATTAATGAGACTTTAATGTATTGAATACATTATATATATATATATATATATATATATATATATATATATATATATATATATAAACTCTTTCTAATAAATACCTTACATATATATTACCTTATATATTAAATGTGAAATTTTAATTTAATAAAATGAAAAATACAATAAAATAATAAGTGGAAAATAGAAAATTTAAAAATTCTTAAAAATATCATGTGTCCAAATGAAAGAGAAGAGAACATATGGACAAAAAAACCTTCTTTTATTATATATATATATATATATATATATATATATATATATATATATATATATTGATATTTGGTTATTCTATATAACAAAAATAAACCCCAAATTTTAAACTTATACTTGCGAACCTAATCTACTAGGTTGGAAAATTAATTTGGTTGCAACTCACTTAAATAAATATAATATTTTAAACCTATTTGACTAATTTAAACAATTATTTGATTTATAACTTATTTATATAATATAATACTTTTGTTTTATTTATATTTTGATATTTAAATAGGTCCATACAGGTTTATCTCAATATTACAAATGTTTGGAAAAGACATATCTGAGTTAGGTTGAAAATATAAATCTAATTATAAATTGAGTTGAAACATGTTTAATTAAACATGTTAAGCAGAATCAGAAGCCCTTGTTTGAAGCAACGAGAAGTCGAAAGTTAAAACATTTGACATGGGGGTAAATCATAATTGTTGAGAGGGTTATTTTCATAGAAGCTCTTAAATTTATAAAAAAATTATCGATTTTATTTAAAAAAATATAACTTTTTATGTGATAAAGCCTAATGGTTAAGAAGTTTTTTTCATTTGTCTTTTATCAGGTAACCAACAACTGATTCGGTAATCATCACTTACTTGGAACTTGGGAGGCCATTCCCCTCCAAAAACTCCTGGTGCAAGAAAACAAACAACAATTTGACACCTTCTTTCTTTTCTCTAAATTGAATCGCCACCCTAACTCCCTGGTTGGACGCACGCAATGATAAATTACTTAATTATTATCGAAAACATTATCGAAGAAACGCGTCTTTACGTTGTGGAAGAATGTATTTTATCGGGGCGTATAAACTCAAGGTAGGTCTTAGGACCTACCTTTTTTCCTTTGTAATTAAATAATTATATATAAAAAAAACATAAGGAACTACATTATTTTTGCTAAAAGACCTAAAATTTCATACTTTTTTCCATTTCATTTATATAAGGAATCACATTGATTTTGGTTCTAGATTCGTCACTGTATTTTATAATTTGTATTAGTTGGTATTTGTCGTTATCGGTAGCATAAGTGTCATGTGTCGATAAGTTATATGTCACCTATCAAATATGACATATAATTTGTAAGATGTGAGATAAAGTGTGTAACCTTTAATAGTCTAGGAGCTATATTGTAAATATGTTTGTCGTACTATCATACAATTGCAATTCAATTATGTAATAAGCTCCCTTGAGCCTATAAATAGGGCATTTGTCTATATGAAATAATCGAGTTAAGTTTGAGAGTTTTAAGACTTGAGTTGATCTCAAAGTTCTTCATCTGTTGAAATAGTTGTTCAATTTCTGAATAGAAGAACGTCTATCCAAATTATCCAACACCATCTATCTAATCGATCTTCAAGATTATTCCGACGCATCGTTCAAGTATTATCACCCATTTTTATCGTTATAATCATCGATAATATTATGTTGAAAATTTTGGTATCGAATGACGCACGCAATGACGAATTACTCCATCATTATTGAAGACACACATGTTTTCGTTGTGGAATGATGTATTTTATAAATTGTATTTTATTTGTATTTGTCGTTATCGGTAGCATAAGTGTCATGTGTCGATCGGTTATATGTCATCTATCGAATATGATGTATAGTTTGTAAGATGTGAGATAAAGTGTGTAACCCTCAATAGTCTAGGGGGCTATATTGTAAATATTTGTGTCGTATTGCAATCATACGATTGCAATCCAATGATGTAATCGACTCCCTTGAGCCTATAAATAGAGCATTTGCTCATATGAAATAAACAAGTTAAGTTTGAGAGTTTAAGACTTGAGTTGATCTCAAAGTTGTTTCTCTGTTGAAATAGTTGTTTTATTTCTGAATAACAGAACGTCTATTCAAATTATCCAAAACCATCCATCTACTCCATCATCAAGATTATTCCGACGCATCATTCATATATAATCATTCACCGCCTTCTTTGGTGAGACCTATAGCTGAGCCATGGCCAGTTTCAACATTATCGGTTGAACATGGCCAAAGATATAGAGGGCCCCAAAAAATTATGCATCTGATACTAGTTGTCTGAAGCGAAACGAGAACAAATTTGAAATCGTCATCTGATGGCGAGATAAATTATAAAAGCCCTTCAAAGACACAGTATACCTAAACAGATTACAAAAATCTATCATTTAATAAGAAAATATACTTCTTGTACCTTTTTAGAAACATAATCATTATTAATAGTCTCAAGATAAAAAAAAAAACATTGGTTCACTGATTGTGTCGTGTGCCTTTTATTTCTTGTGCCTTTTACCTGGTTGGTAAGAGTTTGAAATCAAGAAAGTTGGTTTTCTTTGTTGTTCTAAAAGAACTAGTTTCAAGATGAATCTTATCTAGCATATATTTATCCATACATAAAGTAATCAAAACCATTCATCATTTCTTACCACATGGATAAGCTTAAGTAATTCTTTAATAACTTCAACTTTAAAAAACATATCTTGATGGATGTTACACCGACAAGAATGGTAATAAGAGGATTCTATATGCAATGCGATTCTAATCGATAAGGCTTAGGAATTGAGATGACATAATCAATTATTGCATTATATCGACGTGTGATTGCATCATAGGTCATCGATTACAATTTGTTGATTTGATTTCTCCCTTTTTGGTTGCAACTACCCACTTTCAACGATTATTATACCTATGATGTTGCTTCTTCCTTATCCTAGTAATCTATTAAATTTAGGCCTTTGAATTTTCTTGCTTCTTATCTTATTTTTTTTTTGCTTCTTTATCGCCAATAGTCTAGGCCAAGCCCACAGCCAACTAGTCTATTATGTGGCATGATAACCTACTAAGTGTGTGGTAACCTACTACATTACATTTATAATAAAAAAAAGTCTACAAAGTTTGGAGTTTGACTGGTAAAAAATTGATGTTAAAATAAAACTATTAACATTATATAAATTTTGGGCTTTTATGTCGTTACCTTGTATTCCACAACTTCTCTTACTTCTTGAAGCACATGAATATTCATTTTTATAAAATATATAAAGAAAAATAGTGTATTTTTAGTGTTTCTAGATCATTCAACCCTTAACAATATCTTTTTATATAAAAACTTATAATTATAATGTAAAAAATAATGTTAACAATAAACATCTTTGTCATATTACATTATAATCAATATTTAAAAGAATATTTTAGTTATATTCTATTTTATCCAATTTTTATAGTGTAAAAGATAATGTTAATAAATAGTATAACATTATATTTAGTGATATACTGTTCATAGAATATATATACACTATAATGTTAGGTTTAATGTGAGTTAATTTGAACATTTTAAATAAAAGTGAGTTTAATGTAGAGTGAGGTTAGAGATGCCTTTATACATGAAAATTGATAATGGAAAATATAATGAAGTACTCGAATAATATTGTAGTTATGAAAATTTTAAAGACGTTTTAACCTATTAGAGAACACTTTAATCTTTACCAAGATGAATATTCTCGTTGGTTGACGATACGTTCGATGTTAGATGGAGACTCGATGCCATATGAAGGTGCCTTTTGATAGGAGACAAGATGGTATCAAGAGGTTTTTATATATACAACTAATACAAGTCTATTTATTTAATTACTTTTATAACTTCCAACATGCTTTTTTTTTTAATGCAAAAGATTTTTTATATTTAGATTATATTTAAAAGAGTTAGTATGCAATGATGATGGAGTTCCAGTAGTTTATCTGGACTGCTCTTTTATTCACAATCTTTTTATTTTATTTATTTTATTTTTGATGTATTTACAGTAGTTTATTAGGGTGTGATTTAATTTATT